AATTAAATGTTTACAAAGCTTTGGTGTGATGGGCAGCTTGGTCTTCATTTGCTATAAAGCGTATCTTTTAAAAACAGACCATCATCCCTCCCGACAAACATCTTTGGAGATCATAAGAGAACATTTGTTTTGGTCTGGCAATGTTTAGCACTGCCAACATTTGATTTTATATCGTTTACTCCTCGTAAATAAATGTATAGGAGGTTTAATGCGACATCTCCAGGTGAGCAGGTAGTCTGTTTTTGCTTATGTTAAGGTGTGGTTGTGTTTAGTGTTGATAAGTTCAGTTGACCAATAATGTATTAGGCCAACAATGAAAAAACCCTCTCTGATAAATATGTGGTAACTGTGGCTGGGGTCACCTTTAAATAGCTGACAACACCAACTCCTGTTAAGGGGATGGAGGAACCTGTGGACCCTCAATCTAAACCTAAAGTTGTTTTGCAGATTGTGGGGCTTCCCTTCACAAGGACAATAACAGAGGCATGAATTACCAAATAGAATGCAGCTTTATTTCACAAATAGTTAAACAGACAGTTAAAATGTCAATGTTTAGCAGCTGTCAACGGATAAAAGGGTGAACATAATTTACATTACATGGTGGGTTTCCCCTCCTCAGATGGGCAGGTCTGGTCCGCTCGGTCACAATGCCTGGTATCTGTGAGGGATAAAAAAAAGAACAAAACATGCACTACTCAAAGCACAACTTCTACACAATGATTACAGTGAGAGTTAGTTTACTCACCCTTTTAAAGTGTCACATGGTGCAGTCCCTACACTAAAAGCAGACAAGGTTCCCCCACAGAGGGGGAGGAGAATAACCTGTAACACAAACACTTAGTCAATTATATTGCCCACAATCTGCACACAAGAAAACAATTGACAGAAAATTAAACAAAAAAAATCAATAGAGAACAGCAGTCTTTTAAAAAAACAAAAACACAACATAATAGTTGCCAGCTCAAACACCAATTCAATATAACATTAAAAAGAAGGTTAAAAACCAGGCTTTCTTTGACAGAGTAATAGATCCTCCTGGCTCAATCCAGGAGGGGAAACTGTCATACTCAGCTCTATGGATTAAACATTGAAATCAGGACAGCAGATAGCTTGCACATCTTCCGGGGGAGACTGAAAACTCATCTCTTTCGACTCCACTTCGATCAATAGAATTACTAACAAAGAATTGCTAACAAGGCACTTCTATACTAATAAAAGGGCTGGCTTATCTAAAACCAGTTGAGTAGCACTTGAAATGTTTTAGCTCTATGAAACCTGATGTACTTATATGATTCTGTTTTCTTCAAGTTTGTATCTTGTTGGTCGAACGCACTTATTGTAAGTCGCTTTGGATAAAAGCGTCAGCTAAATGCAATGTAATGTAAAACACAGAAAAATTACATATTAAAAACACACTGCTTGTAACAGACAAGGTCTCGTGCTTTGAATGTCAGAAGAGTTTCCCTCCATGATGGGAAAACGTATCTTGCCCTCGCCCTAATAAAATCCAAACTGAACTAACACTTTCATAGGTTAATTTAAAAGACCATAACACCATCTTAAAGCCGCGAGTCCTACCTTGAGGGAGATAACGGAGAGCGTGCAGTCAAGAGAGAAAGGTTTTCTGAAAATGGCGGCAAAACTTTTATAACTTACATTTTACCGGGCACTAGTGATGTGTCGGTCGCGAACGAGCCGATTCTTTTGAACGGCTCTTTGATATGAACGAGGGGAACCGAGTCGTACTTGGTGAGAGCCGTTCTTGTTATCGTTCAATCGTTTGTCCGCACTCACTGCCTGCCAAAATCCACTAGCCTTTTAAAAAGCTTGATTTTGTTCCCCAAAACGTATTCTGTGAAGACCCACCCCTACTCTGACTGTATCTATCTTCGACACGGAAACCCTGTCTGCTCCTCACAGCAGCTCCTAGCGAGCAGTTGCACGTCGCTTGACCAATCAGAGCACACTGGGCTCACGGGGGGGGGGCGAGCTCCAACAATCCGTTTAGGACAGAGAGTGAACACCAGGTTTCAGCACGAGGAGTGAGATGGGGTGGGTCTTAACGGAATACACGAGAGAGAGAAGTCATAACAAGTGGTACAGGACAGGTTACAACGTGTTTTTCGGATGGAAAATGCGCCCAAACGCGAAAACGCAGTTGGGATGCTGGCCAGGCCTAC